AATGTTATTGTTTCAGGTGAATAAATCTATTTAAATTGTTATTATTAGGTAATGATTATTTTTCTCCTTCCTAAGTACAACAGAAAAGTTGTCCAAATATGAATGATTAACCTATTAAGCTGGGGATAAAAAAACTAATATGAAAAGTTGTTGTTCTAAAAATCTTCATCTACTTGCATATTAAAGTTATACCAGCAAGAATCAGTCTTTATGTAGAAAACTAGGATTGAAATCAAGCCTTACTGACTAGTGATTTACATCGTGATTTAAATCAAATCCACCCTGGCTGTAACATAACAAAATGTGGCAAAAGCGAAGCGCTGTGAATACTTTCAGGATGCTCTGTATATACTGTATTTGAGGACTGGTAAGCTACAAAACATTACATTTTTGTTTTTGGGTTTAGATACATATTAACAAGCAGCTTTAAACATTATTGATCTCTGCATCTGATGGCACAGGGGACCAATTCATCCTTAAAGTGCAATACACCCCTATGTCTGTTCTTACAAATGTTTCCTCCCCAGTCCCTATCCCACCTAACCTATATAAAAAGGATCTGTATTCTTACCTATTTGTAATCTGGTTCGGTCACGCGATCCTGTGTAAGGAAAAGCTCGGCAATGACTCTGAATTCCAGGAGCCTTGATGTCACCCATAGCCCAGCTGTTGATGGTGCTCCCTCCTCTCCCCTGCAGCAGATGCTCACTGACACAGGGGAGAAGGGGGAGCACCATCTTCATCTGGGTTATGGAAGCCTATGGGGATCACGTGACCGGAACGTAGTGGATTACAAATGAGTAAGTGCACAGATCTTTTTTATACAGGATAGGTAGGAGGAGAGGAGAGGGAACATTTTTAAGATTAGAGATATAGTTTTCTTCCACTTTAAACTCCACAGCAGAAGCAATGAAGTCATCCAATAAGATCAGCTCACTCTGCTCCCCCCCCCCCCCTTCTCCCAGAGCACCTGCTCTGTATTCACATTGGAAGACTGAGGGGAGGGGGAACAGAACGATTTGCATACTTCATCTCATCAGCGTTCGCTCGGGTAAGACGTGTCTTAATGCAAATCTGTTTTATTTCAGATTTTTGCACACAAAATACTTGTTCTTGAGTGATCATATTCCACCCCTGCAGGGCCTTTTAATCAATTGCAGGTTTTTTTACGTGACAGGTACACTTTAAGCAGTCTCTGCGATTTAAATAGCAGTCAATCCACGGGAAGAGGCATCTAGTAACAATGACAAGTATTTATATTAGAATAACAGACGCCAAAGGCTCTGTCGCTGTGTCTGGGTTGTTCTACAGAAATGGGTTTAATTTAGCTGAATTCCACATCGGGAAGGTCATGCCTAGAGGACACAATTACTACACAGCACAAACAATACCAGCAATACAACACATCCAATACAAAGTCATGGATGATCTGCTGGGTGACAATAATAAATGACCACAGAGCCCAAACCGACACATAAGAGAATCCCACCATCTATGGAGCAAAGGTGTCAAAAGCTTCCCATACATGTAACAATCTGATTGAACATATCTCATACAATCCCCTCTATATTTACCAAACCGATGGAATGTGAGAGCTCATCTGAACAATTTGCATCCAATCAAACAGGCCACTACACAGCATAGGTGTTGACAAGAAGTTTCTTACAATAAGAGCAGTCTGTAGAGAGAGGGGAACAGGGAGCTGTTCTAGAATAGCTAGGATTACATACAGCCTGTTCATTTTGGGTTTATCCTTACTACAGAGAACAAAGTGAGGGAAAATCTCCAAAAGCAAAACGGGGGAAGAATGACACTTACTTGGTCAGTGTAGCCCCTACCTTGGTGGTCAGTGAAGTACTAGGTTACATTGATGATCCATGGAGAAAGGCCACCTTAGATTGGTGGTCAGTGGGAAGAATGCCCCTTACACTGGTGATCACTGAGCAGAATGCTTCTTGACACTGGTGATCACTGAGCAGAATGCTTCTTGACACTGGTGATCACTGAGCAGAATGCTTCTTGACACTGGTGATCACTGAGCAGAATGCTTCTTGACACTGGTGATCACTGAGCAGAATGCTTCTTGACACTGGTGATCACTGAGCAGAATGCTTCTTGACACTGGTGATCACTGAGCAGAATGCTTCTTGACACTGGTGATCACTGAGCAGAATGCTTCTTGACACTGGTGATCACTGAGCAGAATGCCCCTTAACACTGGTGATCACTGAGCAGAATGCTTCTTGACACTGGTGATCACTGAGCAGAATGCTTCTTGACACTGGTGATCACTGAGCAGAATGCCCCTTACACTGGTGATCACTGAGCAGAATGCCCCTTACACTGGTGATCACTGAGCAGAATGCCCCTTACACTGGTGATCACTGAGCAGAATGCCCCTTACACTGGTGATCACTGAGCAGAATGCTTCTTAACACTGGTGATCAGTGAGCAGAATGCTTCTTGACACTGGTGATCACTGAGCAGAATGCCCCTTACACTGGTGATCACTGAGCAGAATGCTTCTTAACACTGGTGATCAGTGAGCAGAATGCGCCTTACATTGATGGCCAATATGCTTCCCCTTAACCTGGCGGTCAGTTAGGAGCTAGGTCACATTGGTGATCTGTGGAAAAGGGTCCCCATAGATTGGTGGTCAGTAGTGAAGGTCCCCATTACACTGGTAGTCAGTAGAGAAGAATGCCCTTACATTGGCAATCAGTGGGAAAAATGCCACTTACATTGGTGGCCAATATGCTGCCCCTTACTCTGCTGGTTAGTGAAGAGCTATGTCGCATTGGCGATCTGTGTAGAATGCCCCCCATAGATTGGTGTTCAATAGAGAAATCCCCCCATTACAATGGTGTTTAGTGAAAAGAATGCTCCTTACATTGGTGATCAGTGAGGAGAATACTTCTTTCACTGAAATCATTGAGAAGAATGCCTCTTACATTGTGGTTGCCAGTGGAAGAATGTGCCTTACGTTGGTTGCCAGTGTGCTGCCCCTTACCCTAGTGGTCAGTTAAGAGCTAGGTCACATTGGTTATCTGTGGAGAAGGGTCCCTATAGATTGGTGGTCAGTAGAGAAGAATGCCCTTACATTGGCAATCAGTGTAGTGCCCCTTACCCTTGTAGGCAGTGATGACATAGGTTACATTGGTGATCCATCAGGGATGGTCCCCTTACGTTGGTGGTCAGTAGAATGGTCCCCATTACATTGGTGGTTAGTGAGAAGAATGCCCCCTGCATTGGTGATCAGTAGAAAGAATGCTCTTTGCATTGGTTGACATGGGAAGAATGCTCCTTACAATGGTGGTCAGTGGGAAGAATGTTCCTTACATTGGTGATCAGTGGGAAGAATGTTCCTTACATTGGTGATCAGTGGGAAGAATGTTCCTTACATTGGGGATCAGTGGGAAGAATGCTCCTTACATTGGTGGTCAGTGGGAAGAATGCTCCTTACATTGGTGGTCAGTGGGAAGAATGCTCCTTACATTGGTGATCAGTGGGAAGAATGCTCCTTACATTGGTGATCAGTGGGAAGAATGCTCCTTACATTGGTGATCAGTGGGAAGAATGCTCCTTACATTGGTGATCAGTGGGAAGAATGCTCCTTACATTGGTGATCAGTGGGAAGAATGCCCCATATAATTGCGGTCAGTGGAAGGAATGCGCTTTGCATTAGTGGTCAGTGGGAAAAAAGCTCCTTACATTGATGGTCAATGTCGTGCTCCTTACCCTGGTGGTCAGTAAAGAGCTAGGATACATTAGTGAGTCATGCAAAAAACCTATTTAGATTTGCAGTTAGTGGAGAAGCACCCCATTACACTGGTGGTCCGTGAAGTAGATCCCCATTACACTGGTGGTCCGTGAAGTAGATCCCCATTACACTGGTGGTCCGTGAAGTAGATCCCCATTACACTGGTGGTCCGTGAAGTAGATCCCCATTACACTGGTGATCCGTGAAGTAGATCCCCATTACACTGGTGGTCCGTGAAGTAGATCCCCATTACACTGGTGGTCCGTGAAGTAGATCCCCATCACACTGGTGGTCCGTGAAGTAGATCCCCATTACACTGGTGGTCAGTGAAGTAGATCCCCATTACACTGGTGGTCAGTGAAGTAGATCCCCATTACACTGGTGGTCAGTGAAGTAGATCCCCATTACATTGGTGGTCAGTGAAGTAGATCCCCATTACACTGGTGGTCAGTGAAGTAGATCCCCATTACACTGGTGGTCAGTGAAGTAGATCCCCATTACATTGGTGGTCAGTGAAGTAGATCCCCATTACACTGGTGGTCAGTGAAGTAGATCCCCATTACACTGGTGGTCAGTGAAGTAGATCCCCATTACACTGGTGGTCAGTGAAGTAGATCCCCATTACACTGGTGGTCAGTGAAGTAGATCCCCATTACACTGGTGGTCAGTGAAGTAGATCCCCATTACACTCGTGGTCAATGGTAAGAATCCCCCTAGGTGGACTCTAGAAAGGGAAAACGCCTCTCTTGCATACAGTCGAATAGATCATTGTTCGTAAAAGTACCACTGATGATCTGAGAAAGTAGATATTGCTCTTCACTCAAAGAACTCTTAGAGAAACTCCAGTTGAAAAAGGCTGCTTAAAAAGTGATCTCTTTACTTGTTTATAAAAGATTGCAATCACACCTCTAAGTAGTATATAGTACTAGAGAGTATTAAAGAAAAACACACCTTTGGGATGGACAGTGAATCCCATCACATTTGGACCACACTACCTAGAAATGCAGAGGTGTGAATGCAACCTTAAAAAAACTTGCATTCCCCGATACAAGAGGAAGACCAGGGATTGAAACTACTGGGATCCAATCAATTTTAACTGGTCTGCCTCGTTAATGAGTTCTTGTTCTTCTACCTAGTTTTTCTGTATTACCGATAAAACCAAAGACAAGCATTTTAAATCAACCTTGACATGCTGTACGTAAGACAGAAAAAAAAGCCAAAATGAAAGAGCAGTACTCACCTTTCGTGATGTGTGCAGTAATACGCAGCCAGCGCTCTCATTTTCTGCTGAAAGAAAATTAAAATGCATTAGAAGACGCAGAGTTCTATCGTCATGACCTACTGGACAGGACTTTACAATATCTGTCACCTTGTTAAGTATCCAGAAAAGGATAAAAAATTAAATTTCCATTCAAATATACATATTTTTTAACCTAGTCTACAGTCTTGAGAAGGAATTCTACTGAAAAGCCCTCATCGATCGAAAAAACAGACATTGAGAAGCCGATATATACAAAATCAATAAGTCAATTAAAAAAACAAAGAAAGGCTCTACGCAATGCTGGAACAATGTACAGTACTCCTCTAGTGCAAGCAAAAAGCACGGTATTGATTTAAAAACATACCTATCATTAACATTAGGGCCTGGCTTCTTCCACTCCCTTAAATAGCAGCAGAAAGCACAAAACGATGGATTTTTCCATGCTTTGCATTTTATTTTTATAACCCAGCAATAAATTTGCATGTAATTGACAGGCCCGGTTAATGGAAAATGAGAAAACAAAACAGAAGCATTTAAAGGATAAGTTCACTTTTTAACAAAAAATAATAAATGCATGTTAAAAAAAAAAAAAATGTGCATTTACTATTTTTTGTTTTAGGAGCCTGGAAAGCATTGCACATCCCGGGTATGATAAAATTTGAAACATGAAATTATAAATTATATGATAATAAATAATAACAAATAATATAATAATAAATTTAATTCAATAATATAATCAAACCAAAAACACTTAAATTTGAAATATAGCGCCAAGTTCGCACATCACTGAGCAAAGTCGCAAAATAATTTTCAGTGTCCGATGAGGAATTTCCCCCACGAATCATTATCACTCAATTCTGCAAGTGGTTCTGATTTACTATCGCTGTTCTCTAGCCGGTCTAAAACCGCTTTTGACCTATAGGGACGCTTTTTGGAGGCCATGGACTTTTCTCAGTTTCCAGGCAGAAAGAACAGTAAAAATGCAGGCAGGGCGCAGGACAAAGCACTCGGGACAAAATGTATGTGAAATGGTTTGATACAGGAATGTTATACTATGTGATTTTAGCATATTTAGTGAATGTCACTAAAAAAATTTTTACATTTTTGAATTTCCCGCCGGTTCCATCCCCTGTACATCCCGTACGTCCCGACGCTCGCAGGGAATGGAACCCAGAAGATGGATCCCGCCATCGGCCGGAGGACATGGCCGGGGACGCTGCAGGGGGGACATCGCGGGAGCGAAGGACAAGGTAAGTGATCAAGGAAACCCAGAGCAGAGCAACGCTGCATGGTAAGCTCGAGTGTAGCTCGGGGTTACCGCTTTTGGTACTGAAAATTTACCCCGACCTACACTCGGGAACACCCTGCAGTGTTGCTCTGCTCTGGGATCCCTCGATCACTTACCTTGTCCTTCGCTCCCACGAAGGACAAGGAATGGGCTCCCTTCAGGCATACCTGCCTTTAATGTATCCACTGCTATATATATGCTCCAATATGGAGCTAGGCCTGGTTCACACGTGTTTTTTCTACTTTTTGCAGAAACGCACTACAAAACTTACAGAAACGTCCATTTAACATGGTTTCAAATGGGACACATTCACATCTGTGCTGTTTTTCTGCTGCTGCGTTTTTGGAAAAGGTCAGGTACGTTCTTTAAACACAAAAGCAGACTTCAATGGAGATGCTGCAGAAAAGCATGTAGTGCGTTTTTGACGCATTTTGCATTTTTTAATCTGCCTCACAACAAACTGACCAAAAAAAAAGCATAAAAAAAGCAAAAAACTTATTAAAAAAAGGCATCAAAAACGCACTGCAAAAAACATTGCAGAAACAGATCAAAACAAAAGTGCATAGGTGTGAACCAAGCCTTAGGACCACACTTTACAGAGGAGCCTCGACAAGGCATTGTGGCTTCTACATACATTTGAAAATGTGTGCAACTAAAACCTCTTTTTAACGTAAATGCCATTTTGTTGTTTCTTTGTTTTTCATTTTTCAGGCTAGCTGGTAAGAGTGCTGGGAAAACTTGTTTGTGTGGTATAATTGGTCCCTGTGGGTCCCCTAAATCCCAAACTGTACATAGGACTTTGACTTCTGTCCAAGTCGAAACTAAGCCCCACCCCTGCTTAGTATTCTGTCAAGTACTAGGGTCTCTAAAAAAAGGTATGTATTTGACAGCTGAACAAGGTGGGGTTTTACAACAGGGGGTGGGGATTTAGCGAATGGCAACTTGGGCAGACTGAGGTTCCATGTGCAGCCTGCTCTATCAAATGTACCTGCAGATACCACAAGGTGCCTACTCTACAGCACCATGACAAGGAAGCCTTGCAAGCATCTTCCACTTCGGACATCCAGTTCGTTGCACCCAGATCCATAGTTTATATTGGTTTAAAGGCAGCAATATTGAACGCTACGGAGTCCATTCACAGTGCTGTTTTGGTACATAGCTTTCAGCTGCATAAACCAGAACCCTAGGAACCCATAAAAACCAAGGAACCTCTGAAGGACACGTCTGGCTTTATGGAACCTTGGTTAAGAAGGGCTCCACTGAAGTGTGCGGTAACTATTTCAGGACTTTATTTATTTCAGGTACTTATATAGCGCCGTCAATTTACGCAGCACTTTACATATATATTGTACATTCACATCAGTCCCTAACCCTCAAGGGGCGTACAATCTAAGGGCCCTAACTCACATTCATACATACTAGGGACAATTTAGACAGGAGCCAATTCACCTACCAGCATGTCTTTGGAGTGTGGGAGGAAACCAGAGTACCCGGAGGAAACCCACGCAGGCACAGGGAGAACATGCAAACTCCAGGCAGGTGGTGCCGTGGCTGGGATTCGAACCAACGACCCTAGTACTGCCAGATGGAAGTGCTAACCATTTAGTCACCGTGCTGCCCTGTGCTTGGTGTGGTTTGAGTGTGGGTGAGGACACAGGGGCCCCATGAGTTGTCAGTCCACCCCTGGGTACCCTAGATAAAAGCTAGCATTCAACCCTTGCAATGGCGAAAGAAGGGGAGAGGGGGGAAGCCATAGGACAGCCTCACTGCAAGGGTGGTTTTACATTTTCTCTGGAGTTCAGCTTTAAACCAGAGTTCCACCCAAAAGGGGAAGATCCGCTTTAAAGATTGGTCCCCCCGCTCCCCATTAAGGATTGGCACCATCAGTTGCCAGGGGAGCAAGGGATTTAAGTAAGGATGCTTTTTAATGGTACCTTCAGGGGCGGACTGACCATTCAGGCACTGCCTGAGGGCCCAGGGTCAGTAGGGGGCCCCATGAATACCTTTCATAGGCTTTCTTATTATTTATTTATTTCAGGTACTTATATAGCGCCGTCAATTTACACAGCACTTTACATATATATTGTACATTCACATCAGTCCCTAACCCTCAAGGGGTGTACAATCTAAGCTCCCTAACTCACATTCATACATACACATACTAGGGACAATTTAGACAGGATCCAATTAACCTACCAGCATGTCTTTGGAGTGTGGGAGGAAGCTGGAGTACCCGGAGGAAACCCACGCAGGCACAGGGAGAGCATGCAAACTCCAGGCAGGTGGTGCCGTGGCTGGGATTCGAACCAACGACCCTAGTACTGCCAGGAGGAAGTGCTAACCATTTAGCCACTGTGCTGCCCACATTATATATATGTATAATTTACTGTCTGTCTTTAGGACTCGCTTCCTTTGTCCCTCAATATACGCATAAGAAGTCACTTTATTTAGACAGCACATTACACACCTGGTGATCCTACCAATCCACTACTTTATCACCCCCTTCTTGTTGCTTTCCTTCCGTGATAGGCACAACAGACCCGGCCCTAGCATGGACGGTCTGCATCTTGCCTAACATGGGAGTTTCATAACACTGAATGTCAATACAAGTCCTGTAGTCCCAGACTATGTGAATCGACTTTTCCATACGCTATACGCAGTGAATATCCAGGGATGTCAATCATCCCTCTATCCCAACCTATAGTAACCCTGAAAAGAAATAGCTCCTTGCATCTGTGACATTGGCAGAAGCTGCCAATCATTTCAAGGAGTCTCTGCCCCCAGAGCCCAGGGATAAAGCTCTGAATTATGGGTCATGTGGGAAAAGAACAAAAAGATACTGAGCCTATTTTTCATTAATTCCTATTAACCTTTTCATGTATAAATTATGAAGTCACAGTCAGGAATTTTTTCCCCCCCAGTGTTAATAGTACTCTCTGTACATAAAAAAAAAAAAAAAAAAAAAAAAAAAAAACCACACAACTATTAATTGTGTTCTTGTATGGCGACCACTTACGGTTATCTCACATATATATTATAGCCAAATTTACCACCCTAACTCCTCCCACAGTTTTTACGCTACATAGACAGGAATATACCGAAACGTGCGGATTGTTCCCGATTGGTGTGCTATTACTTTGTGGAACGTTACACCAAATGGTTCACGAAATATCAACATTTTTGTGGTGAAATTGGTCCCATAGGAATGAATGGCGGAATGTTCAAAACTAGAGTGGGAGCTGACAAAAGCTAGAGTGTGAGCTGAAAAATCAGGACATGATTTCTAAACTGCCATCACTCCCTCATTTTCAAGCCCACCTACACAAATCTTATATCCAAACGTTCAGCTATCCCTGCTGCCACTAAAAATGTCCACGGCTAAGCCATAGTCCTGATAGTGTTTACAATATGACCATTTGTTTGCAACTCACGCCGCCCATTGACATTCATTGAAACTCCACTCTAGCCACCTCGAATTTGAAGGGCAATTTCTAAACTACGACTGTGCCTTCATTTTTAATATTTCAGAGACATACTATGCATCAAAATGTAGGTCTGGGTCTTGTGATGCTCACATTGTAAAGCTCTTCGGTGTAGGATTTATAATTTCTAAACTACAACCGTTTGAAGATGGCAACCGCCAGTAAAGTGAGCAAGTTGGAGCAGTTTGTTTTTTAACAGCTCTTCTCTGCCCTTGCTGTAGAGTGAGTTGCCATAGGAACCCAGGTGGAGGCA